GTGATTCAAACCTGTGGATATAGAAAAGTGGGTGGGGGGGTAGGGCTGTAAATGTCTGAACTGGGCAATAAAGTATAGAACTCATTCCACTTTCAATGCTTAAGGGCCATTTCATATGAGTTAATAGTGAGCAGTTTGTTTTGTCTTTGTGTTGCTTGTCCGTTTCTTCAACTGAACCGAAAATATGTGACTTTTCGGCACTACCAGACCCAGGGATTGAACTGGAAGCTGCCAATATAACAACCAAGATAAACATACAGGTCTCATTCTACTTTCCATGCTTAGGGGATATTTCATATCTGTTAATAGTCACCCGTCTTATTCATCTTTTGTGTTGCTTATCTGTTTATTCTATTTAACAAGAACATGTGACTTTTCAGCACTACCAAACCCAGGGATTGAACTGACAACTGCTAGTATAACAACCAAGATGAACATTCTGGTCTCATTCCACTTTCCATGCTTAGGGGATATTTCATATCAATTAATAGTCACCCATCTTATTCACATTTGTGTCGCTTGTCCGTTTCTTCAACCGAACCAAAAATAAGTGACTTTTCAACACTACCAAACCCAGGGATTGAACTGACTACTGCCAGTATAACAACCAAGATGAACATGCTGGTCTCCTTCCACTTTCATTGCTCAGGGGATATTTTCTATCAGTTAATACTCATCAGTCTGGTCTCCCTTTGTGTTGCTTGACCGTTTCTTTCACTGAACAAGAATATGTGGGTTTTTTTTTCAACACTGCCAAACACAGGGTTTGAACTGACAACTGATAAGGAACTAGATTTGTGTTCAACAAACGTATTAATAGATACATTGCCTCGTGAATTAACACGTTGACCACATGTTCTGTTCCTAGTTTTCTGTGCATTGTCTTTTTTTTTTTTTTTTTTTTTATTATTATTATTATTATTATTATTATTATTTTCTTTGATTTCTGGCGTTTACACATTTCTTTCCGGGTTCCGCCCAGGGACCTAAGGTTAGAAATGGCATCATGACACTTTCCACTGACAAAAAAAAAAAAAAAAAAAAAGAAAAAGAATTAAATTACATAGATAAAGCTCTTCGTAAGGTGTGGGCTGTACTTGTCAGAATAATTTTTTGTATCTCTTTGAGGCATGGACTTCCAGGAATCCCTTCAATTAGTCTACTGCAATCTTTTTCAACCAATCCTAGGGCTCCAACTACAACAGGGATTGTTGATGTTCCCATATGCCACATTTTTTAGATTTCTATTTCAAGGTCCTTGTAATTTGACAACTTTTTGAATATCTTCAAAGATACATTGCAGTCAGCAGGGACTGCCATATCAATAAGGAGGCACCGTTTTTTGTTTGTGGTTTTTAATAACAATATCTGGCCGGTTGGCCTTGATTGTTCTGTCAGTGTGTATTGTGTAGTCCCATAGAATTGTAACAGGTCCTGTCTCTGTAACCGGGTCTGGGTGGTGTTCATACCAGTTTCTTTCTGTTTTCTTCTCGTAGAAGTTGCAGATTTTCCAGTGCAGGTATTGGCCCACTCTGTCATGTCGGGTTTTATATTCAGTGGGTGCCAACACCGTGCAACCTGATACAAGATGATCAATCGTTTCTGGATATTTATCACAGAATCTGCATTTTGGGATGACACAATATTTTAGTATATGTGCTTGATAATTCCTAGTTAGCAAGCATTGGTCCTGCGCAGCAAGGATAAAACCTTCAGTTTCCGCTTTCAACCCTGCACTACGTAACCACTGATGGGTTCGGGTTTTGTCTACGTCAGCTTGTTTGGTACGGGCAGAGTATTGGCCATGAAGCGGTTTATCTTGCCATCGCTTCTGTATCTGGTCGGTTGCATTCGTCTTTGATGTCTTTTTTAGGTATTTTGCAGTTTCAGCCGGTGTATTGTGCTGTAGTTGCATCTTCTACACCCATTTGAAACTCCATTTTGATATTGTGCTGTAGTTGCATCTCTACGCCCATTTGAAACTCCATTTTGATTATTATTATTATTATTATTATTATTATTATCAATCAATTCACTTCAAGCAAGGCGATAATGCCACCCAGACGCAAGTGAAAGAGAATGAGATGACTTTAGAAGGAACTGGAAACCCAATCCTAACCAGAAAAAAAGGGATAAACCTCTACTCCTGTTCAAAAGATCTGGTAAGAGGGAAAGCGAACGATTCAGTTCTTGGAGTTAGTGAAATTTAGAAAAGGTAAATTCTGAAGTCTAACATGATTGGTGTCACCAGAACATAATTATTTATGTGCCCTGTCCATTCAGCATGTGAACGATTATGGCCCTCCACAACTTCTTGTCCTTTGTAGCTCTAAGTAATGTTTTACTTTTTACCATATCTCATTGTTCATGTTCTGCCATCCATTCACGCAAAGTGATTAGTTAAGTTATTCGATCATGGCCCGCCACAACGTCCTGTCTCTTTTAGCCCTACACAACGTTTGACTCTTTACCCTCACTCCTTGTCCCTACTCTGCTATCAATTTAACTCATTAGGCAGGTTACTAGATCACGGATCTCCACAACGTCCTGTCTCTTTTAGCTCTAAACAACGTTTGACACTTTACCATCATTCCTTGTCCCAGCTCTGCTATCAATTTAACTCATTAGGCAGGTTACTAGATCACGGATCTCCACAACGTCCTGTCTCTTTTAGCTCTAAACAACGTTTGACACTTCACCATCATTCCTTGTCCTAGCTCTGCTATCAATTTAACTCATTAGGCAGGTTACTAGATCACGGATCTCCACAACGTCCTGTCTCTTTTAGCTCTAAACAACGTTTGACACTTCACCATCATTCCTTGTCCTAGCTCTGCTATCAATTTAACTCATTAGGCAGGTTACTAGATCACGGATCTCCACAACGTCCGGTCTCTTTTAGCTCTAAACAACGTTTGACACTTCACCATCATTCCTTGTCCCAGCTCTGCTATCAATTTAACTCATTAGGCAGGTTACTAGATCACGGATCTCCACAACGTCCTGTCTCTTTTAGCTCTAAACAACGTTTGACACTTTACCATCATTCCTTGCCCCCTACTCTGCTATCAATTTAACTCATTAGGCAGGTTACTAGATCACGGATCTCCACAACGTCCTGTCTCTTTTAGCTCTAAACAACGTTTGACACTTCACCATCATTCCTTGTCCTAGCTCTGCTATTAATTTAACTCATTAGGCAGGTTACTAGATCACGGATCTCCACAACGTCCTGTCTCTTTTAGCTCTAAACAACGTTTGACACTTCACCATCATTCCTTGTCCTAGCTCTGCTATCAATTTAACTCATTAGGCAGGTTACTAGATCACGGATCTCCACAACGTCCGGTCTCTTTTAGCTCTAAACAACGTTTGACACTTTACCCTCACTCCTTGTCCCAGCTCTGCTATCAATTTAACTCATTAGGCAGGTTACTAGATCACGGATCTCCACCACGTCCTGTCTCTTTTAGCTCTAAACAACGTTTGACACTTCACCATCATTCCTTGTCCTAGCTCTGCTATTAATTTAACTCATTAGGCAGGTTACTAGATCACGGATCTCCACAACGTCCTGTCTCTTTTAGCTCTAAACAACGTTTGACACTTTACCATCATTCCTTGTCCTAGCTCTGCTATCAATTTAACTCATTAGGCAAGTTACTAGATCACGGATCTCCACAACGTCCTGTCCCTTTTAGCTCTAAACAACGTTTGACACTTTACCATCATTCCTTGCCCCCTACTCTGCTATCAATTTAACTCATTAGGCAGGTTACTAGATCACGGATCTCCACAACGTCCTGTCTCTTTTAGCTCTAAACAACGTTTGACACTTTACCATCATTCCTTGTCCTAGCTCTGCTATCAATTTAACTCATTAGGCAAGTTACTAGATCACGGATCTCCACAACGTCCTGTCTCTTTTAGCTCTAAACAACGTTTGACACTTTACCATCATTCCTTGCCCCCTACTCTGCTATCAATTTAACTCATTAGGCAGGTTACTAGATCACGGATCTCCGCAACGTCCTGTCTCTTTTAGCTCTAAACAACGTTTGACACTTTACCATCATTCCTTGTCCTAGCTCTGCTATCAATTTAACTCATTAGGCAAGTTACTAGATCACGGATCTCCACAACGTCCTGTCTCTTTTCGCCCTACCAGCTGGTAAAATATTACCGATTTGTTTTTTTTTCTTTTTTAGGATCAAGATATCGTATGTTCTTCATCTTATAATTCCTGTCATTGATTAAAACTCGTGTCAGTGTTGTGTTTTATTATACAAAGCAAATGTAAAATAAAATTTTATTTATAAAAAAAATTCAAAAATTATAGACCCAAGAAACATAATTGATTGACGCAATACTTCATATTCATAAATAAAATATTTTATTATTTTACATGTTAATATGCACTTATTGACATTCTACAGCATTCAACAGCATTTGGACCATTAATTTTATTAACTTTCTACTATTTTGACTTTAATATTACTCCCAGTAGATATTATTGCTTCCGAGATATCTTTGCTGGGTACTTTTCCATTCTCATATGCATCTCTTTTAATGATGGACCATAACGCTTTTTTACAGGATTAATATCTAGAGAGTCTGAGGGTCATTTCATTAATTTGATGTTTATAATGGATTAACAGTAAAACCATTTCGATCCATTTTTTTCTTTCTTTTTTTGTTTGTTTGTTTCTTTCTTTTATAATATCTGTTTATCTATCCAGCTTTCCATCTATCTAAGAATTAGGTACCTATTCCTATACCTACTCATATCTATCTATCTATCTATCTATCTATCTATCTATCTATGTCATATCTATGCCTACTTATATCTATCTATCTATCTATCTATCGATCGATCGATCGATCGATGTATCGATCTATGAGTCAGGTACTTATACCTATACTTAATATCTATCTATCTATCTATCTATCTATCTATCTATGAGTAATATCTATATCTACTCATATCTATCTATCTATCTATGTCATATCTATGTCTACTCATATCTATCTATCTATCTATCTATCTATCTATCTATCTATCTATCTATCTATCGATAGATCGATCGATCGATGTATTTATGAGTCAGGGACCTATACCTATACTTAATATCTATCTAACTATCTATCTATTAGTCAGTTACCTATACCTACTCATATCTATCTATCTATCTATCTATCTATCTATCTATCTATCTATCTATCTCAGTCTTCCCACATCTATCTATCTATCTATCTATCTATCTATCTATCTATCTATCTATCTATCTATACATACATATATACATACATACTTATTGTACTATTTTGACTTTAATATTACTTCCAGTAGATGTTATTGCTTCCTAGATATCTTTGCTGGGTACTTTTCTATTCTCAGATCTCTTTTAATGATGGACTACAACGTTTTTTTCACAGGATTATTATCTAGAGAGGCTGGGGGCCATTTCATTAATTTGACGTTTTGAAAACTTTTTTTGACAACATGAATTGCAATCATCCTTGTAAAATATGAAGGGGCATTGTTTTGCAAGACTATGTACTTTGCGCTTAGAGACCTACAAAAAAATATTGTCCGAGAAATTGCAATAATTCTCCGCATTTATCTTAGCATTTTTCTCGTTACAACGAGAGTTTTCTCGTTACATTTTTTTTTTCTCGTTATCTTAGCATTTTTCTCGTTGTAACGAGAGTTTTCTCGTTACAACACAAGCTCAAAAATAACCTCTCCGTTTGTTTGTTTTTTTTGTTTGTTTTTTTCTGAGGCGTTTTGGCTAACTATTTATGTAAAGGTCCGAAACCTCGAGCCTCGACATCAGGTCCATCTAATATAACATTCATCACTAAAAATTACTGTTGAGAAATTAGTTTTCGTATTCTTCTTCAGCCATCTTATACTTGTTCGCTTTGTAGATCTGAATTTAATCGTGATTACGAATCCACTGTTTGCTTAGAGGTGGTAGTTTGGTTGACTTAATGTCTTTGGCCAATGTTCTTTCTATTCTGTAGCTTGTCTTTCCATTTACATTCGAACTACCAAATATTTTCTCGCTAGTCACTCCACTTTTCTTGATTATTACACTTTAATATTCTTTAAATGTATTTTTGCAGCATTCTTAAAACAGGTATTTTCCTTTTTGGAATTTGGCCAACTTTTAAAAATCCGTTTTCAAAAATTGTTCTGTCATGTCGGTTTCAACTTTTTCGTAATTAGCAAAGTTGTGACCCCATCACTCACTCATTTTACAAGGCAAGGCACGCCTTTCTTATAAAATGGTTAACGATAACTATACTATCATATTATTTTATATAAAAGAAAAACACGAAATGAGACAAACGACATTTAATTATTGAAACCTCCTGAAGAGTGGATTGAGCAATTACAAAAAAGTCGAAACTCTCTTGTCAAAGTGCAGAATATACCATCAATCAGCTAAGAGAGAAATTTTATTTGTATTAATCCTATATATATATATATATATATATATATATATATATATATATATATATATATATATATATATATATATATATATATATTGTTACACACACAAAACGTAAATATATATATATATGTGTGTGTGTGTGTGTGTGTGTGTGTGTGTGTGTGTGTGTGTGTGTGTGTGTGTGTGTGTTCTCTTACAATATTAGGACTAAGTCGTTGGGGCGACCCCCATGTGTAATCATTGGGATTTCGATTGCACATATATTAGGGTAGGCAGTCGTTACTTTATGGGTTCCTACTGTTCCCATCTGACTCGGAGTAATTAGGTCCATTGTACAGTAAAAAGCATCATTGCCGTTCAATATCACAAATTTGGTCTGTTAGATTCTGCTATTTACCACATCCAACATCCTTCTGCTGATGACTTCAAAGTAACCCAGGCCGAGGTGTCTTCCGGGTGTTATATCTTGTCAATGGGATACCCGTGATTTGGTCCCGGGGGACGCATACGATTTTGAATTCAAAGGTGTCCCTAGCTTAGACTGATTGACAGTAACAGCTACTGAGTCCAGTTTTCTCTACTATTTAGAATGGGTTAAAAGAAATGGATTCATACCTTTTCCATTTGTATTTGTGCATAACGAACTCGATTGGAGTTCGAACACGGCTCTTCGATTTCTCTTTTTGAACCGCCCCTTCATTGCACAACTCGCACGTTCAATATTAGGAAACGACCCTCAAATTAATTACAAAAATCTCAAGCCACCAAATAAGTTATTTTAAATATTTATAATAAAAATAGATTAACTGGAATTTACATGATAAATTTAACTTTTTCTATTTGCCATATCGTTAGCAACCACGGCTCTCCACAGTTTCCTGTTCTTTGTAGCTCTTTGTCCTTTTGTTATCTCTCCTAATCCCTGTTCTACCATCCATTTACACAAGATCGTTAGGCAAGTTATGCACTGTTTTCCACTGTCCCTCTTGCCTTCAGTATGCCCTTCGAGTGTTACATTTTCCAAGCCTTCTTTTCTCATTATGTGCCCTATAAATTCCACCTATATCTTCCTGGTGTTAAGTATAAGTGTCCTTTTTGTTTTCATTTTCTTTAAAATGTCATCGTTGCTCACATGTTCTGTTCACAGAATCCTTCTTTAGAACCATATTTTTGTTGCTTCAAGTCTCTTTTTCATCCGTGAGATTGCCAACATTGCCACCAAAATTTCTCATTTCTTAATACTTTGCTTAGCTTTTTGGAAGTCATCTTTTGCTATCCCAATGCGCCTTTGGATTTCAGTGTCGCACTTTCTGTCCTCTGTTAAAACACTTTCTAGATATTTAAATTGTTGTACTTGTTCTATCTATCTATCTATCTATCTATCTATCTATCTATCTATCTATCTATCTAAGTCTGTTCATTTCTTCTCTCTCTCTCTCTCTCTCTATCTATCTATCTATCTATCTATCTATATATATATATATATATATATATATATATATATTGCATATGTATGTTTATATTTACCTCTAACATTATCTATCTATCTATCTATCTCTCTCTCTCTCTCTCTCTATATATATATATATATATATATATATATATATATATATATATATATATCAGTCTGTTCATTTCTTTCTTTCTCAGTTCGTCCATTTCTTTCACTCTATCTCACCGTCTTAATTTCTATCTATCTATCTATCTATCTCAGTCTTTTCATTTCTATCTATCTATGTTCGTTTCTCTTCTCTCTCTTTCTCTCTATATATCTATCTCAATCTGTCTATCTTATTCTGTTTAGTTCTCTTCTCTCTCTCTATCTATCTTAATCTGTTCATTTCTTTCTGTCTTTCCTTCTTTCTGTCTTTCCTTCTTTCTTTCTTTCTTTCTCATTTCGTTCATTTCCATCTATCTATCTATCTATCTATCTATCTATCTATCTACACACATATACATATTGTAATTTATAATTTAGATGTTGGGTTGTTCCATTTGCTAACAGCTATGCATTTAGTTATCTTGCAGTTGATGTCTTGTAGAATTTCTTTTAGTTTCCTTTCTGTGTCTGATGTCAACATTGTGTCATCTGCATATCTGATGGTGTTAAGATTGCGGTCGCCACTAATGTTTTCTTTTTTAATATTCCTTGTTTTTGTCACACGCAACAATCTTCTGTTATTGTCTGTGTATAGCTTTTGTTAATACAGACATATGCGTTTGTTTGTATATCGTTTTGGTGTTTATTTGTTTATTACCCGGACTCATATTTAAGTACGCAAAAAATGTTGTGGGAGAAAAAATACATACCAGAAGACATGTGTTTTTTAACGTAAACACAATCAGCATTCCGGCAACATAACGTTTCCTACTCAGTCCTGTTTATTTATATAGCCTTCTGAGCCAGAATACTGCATTCGATTGTAATGTGGTTTTCAATTTCATCTCTTTCTTCGAACTCGAAATGTGTAGCTTTTTCTGGGGTTTGTCTATTTTTGCTGTTAATATAATTGGTCCTGATACATTTTTTCTTATTCTACAATAAGACCTTCCATTTCTCTTTTCAAGTACCCTCTGCGTGACCATATCCCTGGGCATTCAACAGCGATAACAGCAATTTGAATTTTCAATAAGGTGGTTTCTTTTCCTAGATTCTGTTTTCTTGCATTTCTTGCTGAGATTCTCTTTGTCGTATTTTATGATAACTTAGATTATAAGGCCGCAAATATGGAACCCCGAACAAGGATCGAACTCACTACTTAGTTATAAGTGATCTAGCAAAACAAGCTTGCTAAACATTAAAAACCCGTTGAAAGGTTGTTTTTTTTATTATTAAGCGTGACACAAGGCCGCAATTATGGATCCCCCAGTGAGGATCGACTTCTCTACTCAACTGAAAGTGATCTAGCAAGACAAGCTTTATCACTTACTGTATTGTTGCTATTAGTTTTCATGATGTTTTTCTAAAAAGCCCCTTTTAGCCATCTGAACACAATCCTCGATGTTGATTGGCTCTTTTCCTTTCTTTTCGTTTATTGGTCTATTGGTATCATCTGTCGGGTGAATCGCTTTGGTACAGAGTCAGTCATTTCCTGTCCTGTCAATCTTCGGACTTATGATTGTTAGTAATATATACAACACTTCACTAATATTTCTAAATAGGCCATTTTATATTTTGTTGTTAAATAAATAACGTAAAATTTATTGTTTTTTTTATCTCTCTTTTTCATTTGAGCTTTTCTTGTTTTCCTTCTTTTGATTTACATTTCTGGCTTAATTTTTCTTTAATTTGTTCTTTATTTATTTATTTATTTATTTATTTATCTATTTATTTATTTGATCTTATTGCCTTTTTTAGCAGTATCCAATCTTTTCTTTCACAACTTTTCGAAATCCTTTTCTTTCTTTTTCTTTCTTTCTTTCTTTTCCCTCTTTTTCTGAAATCCTTTTCGGCTTTTTGTTTCTTTCATTGACATTATTGCTTTTTTTTCTTTCTCAGTGTACGTCTCTCTCCTATCTTTTCATCATCAATTTTCTTAAATCCTTTTTCTTTCTTTCTTTCTTTTTTTCTTTCTTTCTTTCTTTCTTTTTTCTTTCTTTCTTTGATCTTATTTCCTTTTTTAGCAGTATTCTTCTCTATCCTATATTTTATTTCACAATTTTTCGAAATCCTTTTCTTTCTTTCTTTCTTTCTTTCTTTCTTTCTTTCTTTCTTTCTTTCTTTCTTTATTGTTTTTTTGTTTTTTTCTTTCTCAGTATTCTTGTAACTCTTATCTTTTTTTCCCTCAATTTTCTGAAATCCTTTTCGGCCCTTTGTTTATTCTTTGACATTATTGTTTTTTTTTTTTCTTTCTCACTATACTTCTCTCTCTCTCTCTCTCTCATCTTTTCATTCTCAATTTTCTGAAATACTTTTTCCTTCTTTTCTTTCTTTCTTTCTTTTCTTTCTTTCTAATTTCTTCAACTTCTTTCGTAATAACTTTAAAGCACTGACATACAAAACTTATTAAATCATGTTTAATCAACCTGCTTTCATGTGTGCGTGTGCGCGCACGCGCGCTTGTGACAGTAAACGTCTCGTCTGCTGTTTGTTAGTGAACAGAAGGCGTACATGTCGCAACAGGAGACAGCAGAGTTTGAGCTTGTTCAATCTTCACCGGGGCCCACGCTCCAACTTAAACGAAGCTAAATATTCGGCCTTTCCAGGTGTTGCTATAATTAGAGCGTCCGCTAATACTGTTTTCGCACGCACATTTAGCTATTTAATCATATAACTGACAGCAGTAGTAGTCGATAGTTCCATTTTTTATTTATATATATATATATATATATATATATATATATATATATATATATATATATATATATATATATATATATATATATATATATTTATATATATATATATATATTTATATATATATATATATATATATATATATATATATATATATATATATATATATATATATATATATATATATATATTTAAATATATATATATATTTGTTTAAACGTTGTTTTATAAATGGATACACATATTTGAGTAGATGGTCTGTTTTTATTTAATTAAACAATATATCGGCCTGAGTATTTCGAGAAAAAATATACGTCCGTAGCCGAGTTTGTCTAAAGCACTTCAGATCTAATGACAATTTCCCATAGGGGACGCAGGTTCAAATCCTTCTGGAGGATGCATATTTTTTAAACGATTTCTCGAAATATAGATATACTGTTTAATAAATAAATAAAAACGGCATCTACTCAAGTATGAATATCCATATATAAAATGGCGTTTAACCAATTAAATTAAAAATCTGTCGGATTTAAATCCATTTCATAATATATATATATATGTGTATGTGTGTGTGTGTGAATTGGTATCAAATATAAATCAGAATCCAATAGAATGATACGATAACAAATAAAGAATTTTTATAAATCTAACAAGTTTCGCTTTTATTAAAGTTTCATCAGAGAATGCGATATGGAGCTTGTTCTTTCTTTTTCTCCATATCTCATTCTTTCATGAAACTTTAATAAAAGCGAAGTATGTTTGATTTATAAACGTTTTCTATTCTCTATATATTCTTTTTTTATGTCATCCGCACTGTTTTCCCAACTGAGCAATAGTGAGAGGAAAAAGATCATCCAGGCTTTCAGTAATGGTACCAACCTCTGACTTCCATCTTCAAGGTCCATTAAAGAAACATCAAAAGAACGGTGAATAAGTTTAAAAAAGAACGAACAGTAGAGAGGAAAACTGGATCAGGAGGTCACAACATCAAGAGGGATCATCATTTCAACTTAGAGCTAAAGAGATCAATTAGAAAAGATCCAACTCAATCCATAAGACGTTTGGCACATGAGAGAGGAGTTTCAGCGATGACAGTCCAAAGAGCAGTGAAAAAGACTTGAAAATGAAAGTGTACGTGAAACGTGTGAGGCATCTTATTACCACAGGACAGAAAGTTAGGAGATTAGAGAGGACGAAGATCATCTCGAATAAGTTGGAAAATGATCATGGAATATTATATATATATATTCAAACTTTATTTTAATCCTTCATGAGCTTCCGATCCTTAACTATGATTAATTTATGATGAACATGTCATTTTCGTTTATAATCGATTTCATCACGATTCTTCTGTTAAGCTTAGAGAGTAATTATACATTCTTATTGCTCAGAGTTCAGTAGTGTTAGAAAAACCTCGGAGAATTCCAGTAAGATATCTTTAATCATTTCTACGATACAACGTTTCAAAGGCCAATCTAACAATTGGACAATTTTACTATTACATGATTTGGACAATTTTGCTGTTACATCCAGTATGCACACACACACACATATATATATATATATATATATATATATATATATATATATATATATATATATATATATATATATATATATATGGTAGATTGATTTGTTTTTATCAACCTTTCATATTGTAAGAATTTGGGGAAATAATAACGAATGCACTGTTACAGAGCCTACTATTTAACACATATCTTGGACGAGAAGAGGTGGATTTATAACTTTGCCAATGGTTTTTGAGCGTAAGTGAAAATGAGAATCCTGAAACTAGAATTGAAGGTCGGCTCTCCGAGTTCCAATTCCGAGCTTACAGCTCTTCGTATTCCCAAACGGCCATCCATCTAGATACTTATCTTGCTCAACGTTGCTTAACTTTGATGATTCGACGAGCACCAATATTTCAACGTGATATGGCCGTAAGACCATATAAGGTAGACGCAAATTATGTCCAAAACGAAAATGACTTTAAGAAAAAGGTCGTTGCTAAAATAAATCCTCCTGTATGTCAGTGAATTATGGGTAATTTCGTAACAGATGAAGAACTGACTGAAAGCGTCAGTCATGTGGTTCTACAGATGGATGCTGAGAATAATATGAACAGAACATGTAAACAACGAAGACGTTTTAAGGTAAATGGAAACAAAAAGGAAACTTGTTCTTAAAATCTGAAAGAAATGAAGGAAAAAAGGCTTAAAAAATGGGACATTCAAAAGACATTAAAGGTAAGATTGACAGAAAGAAAAGGTGAGTGATCTAGTTAACGAGCTTGTGTAAATAAATGACAGACCAGGGAATGAGAGGGATAATGAAAGGACAAAGGCTGATTAGAGATACAAATAATAGGAAGTTGTGGAGAGCCATGATCATCTACATAACGAGCTTGTGTAAATGAATAACAGACCAGGGAATCAGAGGGATAATAAAAAGACAAAGATTGATTAGAGATACAAATAATAGGAAGTTGTGGAGAGCCATGATCATCTACATAACGAGCTTGTGTAAATGAATGACAGACCAGGGAATCAGAGGGATAATAAAAAGACAAAGATTGATTAGAGATACAAATAATAGGAAGTTGTGGAGAGCCATTATCATCTACATAACGAGCTTGTGTAAATAGATGATAGACCAGGGAATCTGGGGAATAATAAAAAGACAAACATTGCTTAGAGATATAAATAATAGGAAGTTGTGGAGAGCCATTATCAGCTACCGAGCTTGTATAAATAGATGGCAGAACAGGGAATGGGAGTGATAGTAAACAGATAAACGTTGCTTAGGGCTACAAAGGATAGGAAGTTTTGGAGAATGGTCACCGTACATGGAAGCATCCGAAATGCAATGGAAATCACTACGAATTGAAGAATTTTGGTAGAAATGATTCTGGTACATAGCATTCCTATATTGTCAGTATTGCTTTCTGAAATAACCGGCGACAATTTTTTTTATTTCTTGCCATCGATGCAAATATAAAGCAAAATCATTTCTATATTAAGATCATTTGCATTGCATTTCAAAGAAAAACTTTTGCAAATAACAAAAAACACTTCCAACACTTCTCGTAGCAGCCATCTTTAGATTTACAGAAAGGATCTGCCTAAGAATATGCTCAGATCATTTGTAAATATCTATGCCGATAGTATGACGATATTTTTTTTAAGCTTTTCACCCCAAGCAAGGCGGGAAGTCACTAGGATGCAAGGGGTTACAAAAGATTTGGAGCAAGATCAGATAGGAGTGATAGAGGAAAGGATGAGGAGAAGGATAGTGGATAGATCAAGGCAACTGGAGATGTCGATTGACATTACATTTGAATAGTTGGAGATTATAGCTCTCAGGGAAACAGGAATAGGGAAGGGAGTTCCACAGGCGAGAGGTGCGAGACATGAAGCTATTGGAGTAGAAGAGACGGCTACATTTAGGAGTTTCGACAGTGAAAGGGTGAGAGCGGGATGCCAGCCTCGTAGGGCGCTTGAACTCATGAAGTCTGAGAACCAGCGAATGCAGCTCCTCGGAGCAATTGCCATGAAAGTATTTGTAAAAAAGACAGAGAGAAGCAACGGCGCGTCTGTGGGAGAGCGACTGTAGACGAGATGCCAGAACAGGGCCAATTATATTGCATATCCGCCTCTGGAGCTTATCTAGAACCCCGAGGCAAACAGAAGGGGCTCCAGATCATATATGGCAGCAATACTCCATGCAAGGGTGAATTGTTGATTTGTAGATCTTGTAGAGGACCGTGTCGGCGATGTTGAGTAGAAGAACACATGTGGGTTAAAATTTCCTGCTAGCCGGTCCAGCTACATGAGAAATTTGGATTTAATTAAGTCCAAAGAAGGTAAAGAAAAACAAACACAAGACCGATAAATATATGTAAACAAATATATCTATTAATAACAAGAAAGGTTACAAGTTACATGGACAGTTACATGGACAGAGTGTGCGTGGTGAATTTTATGTGTGTGTTGTGTTGTGGTGAGTGTTCGTACGTACGTGTATTGTTCCCAGCATTTGGGAAACGCTGTATCTGTGAGCGTTTACATCTGCGAAGTGGTAAGGCTGAAAGCCTGAGGCAAAAAAGAGATTTACCTCAAGGTGGCGGCCCAAAGGCCTGAGGGGAAAAGAGGTCGAGGCGAAGGGTCAGCGAGTATTTATAGCCAGGGAAGAGAGACCCCTGGTGAAAGGGTCAAGGAGCTGAGGAGGAGATAACTCCGACAATCTGAAGGATCGATTCCGGGGAGAAAAATTTCCTGGCGCGGCACAAGGAGCCAACTTAAGAGATTGACAGCTAATCTTTAATCCAATCTAGCACTAACTTCTCAGTGGGGTGGGGAGGAGACTAGTTGGTTACATTCAATGCTTCTAAAACTAAACTAGTTACATTCCATCGTCGGCGATCAACCTCTGAACTTCCATCAGTCATGGTGAACAGTTGTTTCTTCAGAGGTGTTCCGTGCCTTCAGACACTCCTGATCTCAAATGGAACTCGTGCATCTCGCACCTCTCGCCTGTGGAACTCCCTTCCCTATTCCAGTTTCCAAAAGATAGTGGGAAAATGGTCGGTTCCTGTTCCTGACTCCTTTACAAGAGCCAGATCAGGCCGAAAATGGAGTACTGTTGCCATATTTGAGCGGGAGCTTCACAGTCTTCCCTTTTCAGTCTCGATAGAGTTCAAAAGCGTCTTCGAGTCCTTGTGGGTGACGAATTATTTACAACCCTCCACTCTTTCTCTCACAGCCGGGATGTTACATTCCATCATCACCGATCAGAAATCGAACTACTGTCACTTATACTGAACGGATGCCCACCTCCCTCGGGGAGGCTTCGTGCCTTGAGAGACTATTGGGCCTTAAACTAACACCTGACCTCAAGTCGAACTCGTACATTCAGTCCATCTCAAAAGATGCAAGAAAGATTGTCGGCTCCCTGTACCGCTCCAGTAAGTACCTGACTCCGCGTGGTATCCTCTACCTTTACAAGAGCCAGATCAGGCGGAAAATGGAGTACTGTTGTCATATTTGGGCGGGAGCTGCCCAGTCCTCGATAGAGTTCAAAAGCGTCTTCGAGTCCTTGTGGGTGACGACTTATTTTCAACCCACAACTTCTTTTTCACTTCTCTGTCGCTACTTCCATGAAAAGTGCTCGGAAGAACTACATTCCTTGGTTCCACCAGTTCTAACCTTCACGGCTAGGATCCGCCATGCCACTCACATTGTAGCGAACCATCTTCATTCCTTTCGTATTCCATTGGTAAGAAGAAAGTTCTACTCGAATAACTTCTTTCCGCGAACCAATGCTCTGTGGAACCGAGTCCTAATAGGATGTTTCCCCAATCACTACAATCTTAATCTGTTCAAATCTGGAGTGAACTGTTATGTCCCCACCCCTATCCGTATAAACTACCTCTTAATGTAACCCTCTATCTCGAGTGGCTACCGGGCCTTATACAGGACGAACCTTACTGCAAAAAGAATAATAGTTACTAAAAGAACAAAAAATAGGTAGCATGTGTAATTAGAAGGGGAATAAATAAGATAATCAAGATGTTGATGTTCCACACTACCTTAAACAAAAGGTTAGGAAGGAAACACCCATAAATACTAGAAAGACCAATAACTTTGGACTTGAGGCCAATTTCCTGAAAAACTGCTCTAATAAAACGATATTACATATTACCACCAACAGAAACTCTAACCATCCAGTGAATGAACGTCGAATATTCTATGTGGAGAAAGAAATCCGTCCTGGCTATAACGATAAACTACATCTGCATCCTGGGGTAAGACGATAAACTACGCATGCGTCCTGGGTAAGACGATAAACTACGCATGCGTCCTGGGTAACACGATAAACTACATCCGCGTCCTGGGTATGACAATAAACTACATCCGCGTCTTGCGTATGACGATAAACTATATCCGTGCCTTGGGTAAGACGATAAACTACATCCGCGTTCTGGGTATGACAATAAACTACATCCGCGTCTTGGGTATGACTATAAACTACAACCGCGTCCTGGGTAAGACGATAAACTACTTTTGTACCCAAAACCCCCACCCCCGCCTATATCTTCTTAGTATTTGGTTGGCTTGGTCAGTGCAGCAAATTTCTAATAGTCTACCAGTTGTACAGTGAAAGAGAGAAACCTGCTTGTGTTTGCTCATCATGTGTTTGGGGAATTGACTGTCACATTTCTCTCTTGCCAGTTCAACATTAACTTCAGTCTCTCTCTCTCTCTCTCTCTCTCTCTCTCTCTCTCTCTCTCTCTCTCTCTCTCTAAATCCAATTACCAACTTCTTTATAACACAAAATATATAATATGGCCTTTTAAGATTTGTATCTATTTATTTAACCCTAGAACACTAACCATGGGTATATAGTACCCTGCGCAATTTTTCCTATTTTTAATTACAATTTTCAGTACCTAATTTTCTTACGTAAATATGTTTTTCACTTCCTATTAATGTTAAATCAAAGTACAAAGTTTGAAGTGCCTGCATGTAAAATATTTCAAATAAAAATTTATATTTAATTTTTTTTTTTTTTTGATATTTTCAAAATCGGGTATGATATACCCATGGTTAGTCGTGGTGTAACTTTAATTGATGGTTAGTGTTCTAGGGCTAAAACCTGCTATTAATGAACAGCCTGCCTTTGAACTGATGCAATTTCTCTAATACAATGAATAGTATAGTTTTTACATCTTTTCTTTCTCTATCACACCAGACTACACTATCATCTGGCCACAACTCGGAAACTACCCACACTTGTGTTTTCTGTTGTCTGACTTGTCTTCAAGAATAGTCTGATGGATTTAGTCACTTCAGTTGGATGTCATCCTCAGACTGTTTTGTTATCTTGCTCCTAAATAGACATTGGAATGTTGTCACTCCCAAACTGGGGTGGTTTCGTATAATTACTTCAGACTTTTTTTCCTGGGTTGGTGTAGGACAAAATAACAATGAGAAGGTGGAAGTATGTTTTGTGTGTGTGTGTGTGTGTGAGAGAGAGAGAGAGAGAGAGAGAGAGAGAGAGAGAGAGAGAGAGAGAAAATTTCACAATTTGTCCTTTCTGAAAAATAAATCATACAAACGTAGTTATACAATAATGAAAAGCAAAACACGTGCACAAAACTTATTGTATTGATTATATATATATATATATATATATATATATATATATATTGATTGTATTGATTATACACTCCTCTTTACCTGCAAAACATTTATTATTATTTATTAAAAAATAAAAATTTTAATAAATGTATTATAATAAATAATTAGGAGGAGTAGTGGATAGCGGCTCGGATTGAGGAATCGGAGAGCCGAGTTCGAATTCCAGTCAAATCCATTACATTACTTGGGAAAAGGTATTAATCCTCTTCTTCTAACTCCAGCTATAGGCAAATATAGCAAGACAGACTGGGTTCTATAGCCTTGGATAAAAAATGGTCTAGGAAAAGGACTGAATTCAAAGACATGCAGAGGGTCGTTTAGGGACCTTGTGGCGCGTAGTGCACCAGGTCTCTGTATTCGTCCCTTCTGCACAAAGCCTTCGCCACTATAATCAAATCTACTGGTATCTGGGCTGCTCGACCCTCATACGACGGGAGAGTCTAACATTATAATAAAAATTATTAAAATAAAAATATTAAAAACTATTTTAATGGATTAAATGGATTATAGTATTAAATAAATCCTGTTATGATTCTGCTAATAATAGTCTATTACTTACTATATACCTACTTATGGCAGCCCATGCCTTGACGCCATATAAATACCCAAAACTATATCAGGTGAACTCTGACATCTGATGAGTCAGTGTGAATACTGGTTAGGCACGGAAAGGCGATGAAAAATGTATTATGTCGAATCATAAGTATTTTCCGTCTTGGTGAAACAAATGTAATGAGACACGGTGGAGTAACGGATAGCGACTTCAATATCGAGTCGAAACAATTACATTTACTTACGTGCTAATACCCTCGAGAAAGATATGAATCCTCTTCTTCTCCCCCCAGATATGGGTAGATAGCAGGACAGAGAGGGTTATAGAGCATTGGATGACAACTGGTCTACCGCAGAAAGAAATGGCAACCTACTGCGGGAAAAAATCTGCCTCATCAGTCATGTATTGAAAGATACATGATCGCTTATGCATGTATCATGCATGGCACATAACTGACTGACTAAGAAGAAATTAGGAGTTCACTAAAATAATTTACTTTTGACAGTAGCATCAGGCATGGAGGATTGACGGAAATATATACCAAATAATTATTACATTTTTTTGATTGCAGCAAAAGGCTTTGATGGAGAACACTTTCTCATATGAAACCAGATTCAAGTGTCGAAAACTTTATGACATCAAGACCTGCGGGTTTTTAGCCAAAAGATATCAAAGAGCAACTTGATAAGCAGCAACAAGTCATTAAAATAATTATGAATATACAATATATATATATATATAAATGTAAATAACAATAGGAAAACTGTAGTCATTGCTGACGCGTTTATCAAAGCAAAAAAAACGAAATGAAATTAATTAAAGAACGTAACTAATAATAACAAAAAACAGAATGTCCTTAGCAACTGGAGGAATGTAGAGAACGCTATTTTCATATATATATATATATAGATAGATAGATATACACACACATAAATATATATATATATATTCATATATATGTGTGTGCATATATATATATATATATATATATATGTGTGTGTGTGTATATTTTCATATATATATATATATATATACACACACACATAAATATATATTCATATATATGTGTGTATGTGTATATATATATGTGTGTGTGTGTGTGTGTGCGTATATTTTCATATATATATATATATGTGTGTGTGTGTGTGTGTGTGTGTGTGTGTGTGTGTGTGTGTGTGTGTGTGTGTGCAAATATAAATATATAAAATAACCGTTAGGTTAATAATCCGAAGTTCTTTAGTATTTTTGTTTTTATTTTTTAAAAAGAACAATGCTCAATACACAAGAAGAGCCTAAAAAAGAAATTGTAGTTCAATACGACGTATTTATCTACAAACAACACTTTTAGAAAAAAAATCTTTAGGTATACAAATACGAATTTAAAGGCGTAACAAAAAATGCCAATAACTCTCTGTCGTTGAAATAGACCAGACGATATGCGTCAAACGGATGTCATCGTTCGCTTGAAAATAGGCACCCCGACCCTACCTTGACTTAACCTCTTTCCGGAAGTAACTAATATGTTGATACAATAGTTGCCAGTGAATATGTAAATCCTTACGTCTCTTATTAATATAATTGATTTCGCCGTTTCCATAGTAATTAATATTACAAATGTATATGCTTATAAAGCTCCGGAAATTTCAAGATTAGTTATTCCAAAATTCGCTTGAGAATGAAACAGAGTTGGGTACTTTAGTTCAATTTAATTTTTATAATTAAATTAAAGTTTTCAGCGTCTGTTTTTGAAACATGAGAACTCTTATGTAACGATGGAATCATATTTTTTTTAAAATAATTATAATATATATATATATATATATATATATATATATATATAGGCAGGATGTGTGTGTGTGTGTGTGTGTGTGTGTGTGTGTGTGTGTGTGTCTGTAACGAATGCACGGCCGCAATTTTCGACGGATTTGCACCAAAATTTACATGCACATGCTCCAAGTTAGCGGGAAGGCGAAGACCGACTTTGCATTTCCCAAGGGAAAAATATTTTAACTCAAGTGATAGCTATTGCTGTATGAGTCGTACGATTTTTGAATCCAGCACGGGCAACGCCGGGCCATGCTGCTAGTATATATATATATATATATATATATATATATATATATATATATATATATATATTATAATATATAGAATATACAATATATAATGTAATTGTAGTTTATTTTCTGAAAAGTAAATTTGATGAACAAAAACGGAAATTATTTAAGACATAACCTATCAGTAAAACGGGGTTTGATTTGGGGTACCAGACGAATGGAACATTCCATTTCCGAAATACCTGATTATACCGCGCATCGTTGTCAGCGCAGTCCTTTCTTCTTTTTATGTGCCATGTCCTTTCAGGACGTAAGCGATCATGGCTGTCCACCTCCCTCTATCCCTTGCAGCTCTCAACAAGTTCCTTCCCTCTGCTTCCTCCCCCAGACCACGTTTTGTCATCCACCTGTTCAAGCTCGTCAGGTATGTCACGCGATGCTTTCCTTTGTCTCTCTTCCCCTCTATTCAACCCGTGAGTATCAGATTCCCCAGGCCCTCCTTCCTCATTATGTGTCCCAAAAACTTCAGCTGCCTCTTCCTGATGTTAATATAAACTTCCTCCTTGTTTGTAACCTCTCTATGACCTCACCGCAGCGCAGTTACTGGTCCTTAATAATTTTGACCAGAGATTTTGCTACTTGAACCTTAGAGGACTAGCGAAGGGGGCCACATTTCGATAAGTCATATGTAACGGTCTGGAATAGTGAAAACCCCATGAGGCAATAAATCTAAGTTGTCAACATGGCATCGTACATTATTCCTTAATCGTGTGACATCTGTTCACGTGGTGATTCCGATGGTCTGTCTAAAAACGTCTTTGACCGGTGACAGTTATGTGGCGTAGCTTCGTAAACATTTGGATCTGTTCATTTATTGAATCAGTTGTGAGTTCTGCTGCTAGGAAAGTTGGTTCACTGTGTCGGACGAGACAATTTTTCTCTCCAGAATCTATCTTAAATATTTATAAGTCTACCATCCGTCCATGCATTGAATATTACTGCCACATCTGGTCTGGTTTGGTTTGGTCTATTAAATAACCCATTGAGGTTGATATTCCGTAAGAATATCAACCTCAGTGGGATATTTAGTGGCGACAATTTTTATTGCTGTTAATAATTTTTCTCAGAAATGTATTTCTGGTAATATTTTTTCTCCAAAATTCTATTTCAGGTAATATTTTTTCTTCAAAAGTGTAAAACTGGTAATAATTTTTGACAAAGTATTTCTGGTATTAAAACCTATTTTTACACTTTCATAGTGTTTTGACACCAGTTTGGGGGTTAATTATTTGCCCATAGCTGGGATCCTAACAGGTGATACCACTCCTGGTCAGGGTGAGACTGGAAACACCAGCAATTAAGAGGTGGTTCCACCCTCCTCCAAACCTCCTGATCAGAGGCATTAGTGTTGGATGTAGTTTATCGCCTTACCCAGGACTCGGATGTAGTTTAGCGTCATACCCGCGGACGCCATTTGATCTGGTGCTGCTGATAT